ACATATTTTTCTCACTAAAGGAAGCTATTTTTCATTTAAAAACAACCTACGAGTACTAAATTTCAAGTAAATACGTTTATTGGTTTTAAAGTTATTGTTGTTATTAACTAAAAGAATTTAATTTTTTTAAATTTTAACACCCTGTATCTCGAAAAGTAAATAAGTTTGACCCCTCATTAACTATATCGTTTTGTTCAATTTTTCGAGAAGTATCTACAGTCAAACGTTGTAAGTGTAATTTGGAAACACCCTGTATGTATGAAATATTAGATATTTAATAGAAAATATTAGATACTTACAATTTTGCCACAGACTGCACAGTAGATTTTTCCCATATCCATAGACAGCTCTTTATAAGGTTTAATCCAAGTTGAAGCACTGGTTGTTTTAGGCATTATAAAATCACAATCTTCCTTTTTGTTACGCACAACGAGTGTTTACGCTTTGAATATCAAAACAAAAATGATTTACAAATCTGAGCATCAAATTAGAAATGTTTAGGTACCTAATTCAATAAACTGGGAGATTTTGGAAAATCCCTAAATTAGGAACAAACTATTAGCCGTTTACCTGCTGTTAAGATACAATAAATTGTAGATAGATTTGGGGATTAGATCATAAAATGCAAATGAAAGAACCCTTAGCGATTATCCAATAACTGAATGCCTGAGTGACCGAGACTTTCTAAGAATGTTGAGGGCTACTTAAATTGATCTTCTTTGAAATTGTAAATGTTTTGTACCTGTAGAGATTACGTACTTAGATCATTTCTTGATTAAAATGACTACAAAATTTTATACAAGAATTGAAATAAATTGGTATGTTTAAAAATTTTCAAATACAGTATAAAAATCTGAACTTTTATGCACTTTATGCAAACTTTTATACAAATATGCCAAAATATGAAATATTTGCATAAAATATGCACAATATGCAAAATATGCAATATGCATATTTGCCGAAGTCTACTTATAAGGCTTATAGTACGGTAATCTTTGCATTTTTTGGCTCCTGGTTATTTGGAAGTGCAGTTAACTCAGATTTCAGCCATCCTGTTGGTATTTCTAAAGAGTTGTATATGTTGTTGAATATCTTTGCGATTATTGCTATTGATTCGTTGTCCATTAGTTTGAGTAGTTCTGCTTCTTAGCTGCCGCTTTGCCATCCTTAAACTTTGTTATTGCGGAATAAACTTTCTACTGTAATATTCTTGTTCCATCATTTACCTCTTCTTCTAGCTCAACGGTGTTATCTCTTTGGTCCTCAAATAGTTTTTCTAGATATTCTTTCCACGTTCTTGTTTTACTCTGTTTGTCAAAGATGATATTTCTGTCAGAATCAGTATTTCCTTTCTGCATTCGTTTTGGTCCCCCTGCGAGTTCTTTAACTTTCCTATGTACATTGTTACTATCGTACTTTGACTGCAGAGTCTCAATTTCTACCCGTCTTTCCCTTGCTTCTTTTTCTTTCGGTTCTCTGATTTTCGTTCTTATAATTATAGTTATGGTTTTATATTTGTCTGGATCATTTTTGGCTTCTCTTCTTTTGTACATTAGTTTCAGGATCTCATCTGTCATTTATGATTTTTTATTTATTAATCTATCTTTATTTAAGTGCTTATCCTTTACATTTTGCACTATTTCTGTAATATGTTTGATCGTTTGGTCTTCATTCGATTCGTCTCTAATTGCAGTGACTTGCTCATTTAACGTCACTTAGACTCTCATCCTTGTATCAAGGTCTTTCATCATAAGTGGGTTATATGATTGTCCTTTTCTTTTCTGCACTCTTTTGAGTTTGACTCGAAATACTTCCTCCAGTATCTTGAATGGTATCAGTATGCATTTCATAGTAGACAACTTCCGTGTTCCAAATATAGTCAGTAGAAATTTTTAGCCAGGAGGATTCGATATGGGGAAATGGCCAAAACATTGAGGCTATGGGTGAAACTGATTAGTATAAATATCTCAGAGCAAAGGAAGTACGAAAAACTGACCAAAAGCAAACAAAAACTGAGATAACTACGGTGTTTATAGGAAGGGTAAAACACCTGCTTCGTTCATACCTCAACAGTACAAATTTGTTTAAAGCACTCCGCATATTCCACGGTTAGCTATTCATTTGGTATTGTTAAGTGGACGTAAACGGATATTTAAAATCTTCAGAGAAAACTACGAACACACCTCGCGAAAGCACAAAAACATCATCTTAGTAGTATAGTTAAAAGAACGACATTACAACGGTATTTAGAAGGAAGAGGACTTATGGATAAATTATGTAAGTGATCAAACCAGAAATGTGCATAAACCATCATTCTAAGGAGAAAAAAATGCGCATTTGGATGGATAAACCCCTGCATGGGCGATAACCCAATGGAGTCAGCCAAAACTACGTCGACAATATGGCGTCAACCTATTGGTTTTGTGCTGGGTTGTGGTTATCATTTATAGTAGGCCTATCACTGAGATCACTGCTTCTAGCCGGTATTTCAAGATCAACATTATCTTATTGCTGCATATATATAATAAACATATTCGACTTACCACAAGATTAAAGTCACAGTATTGAGATTGAAATGTCTTACTTTACCATATTGTTCCAATTCCAATCAAAATTCCAATATAATATGCCTTCTTCTTCTCCTATAAGTGCCCTATCAAGTCCCCTTGACGTTGGCGATTAACATGGCGAAACTGTCTCTGCCTCGAGCTATTCTAAATGGTTGCTCAGCTTTTTTTATTCCTATCCACTCCCTGATATTCTTCTACCAAGAGGCCTGCTTTCTACCAATTCCTCTTCGTCTTTCGATTTTACCCATCATAATAAGTTGAAGAATATTATATTGATCTCCCCTTACTACGTATCCAAAATAGACCATCTTTCTACATTTGATGTTATCAAGCAGCTCGCGAGCATTTGCTCATTTGCTCTTTCAAGGACTGCCACATTTGTCAGCATAGCCGTCCATGAATTTTTTAGTATACGTCTGTGCAGCCACATCTCAAAGGCCTCCAGACGATTAATGGTAGATATGCTTAATGTCCATGCTTCCACACCGTATAAGAGAACGGACCAAATGTAGCATTTAACCATGCGCTTTCGAAGTTGAAGTTGCAAGTTATCATTACAGAAGAATGACCTCATTTTTAAAAATGTCGTGCGGGCTTTCTCGATTCTACATTTTATCTCTTGATCTGGATCTAGTTGTTCAGTAATATGGCAACCAAGACATTTAAAACTGGACACTCTTTGAATTATATGACCATCAACATATAATCGTGCATCTTGATGTGCTAAACGGCTAAACACCATGTGTTTTGTTTTTGAACAGTTTATGTTTAGGCCAAACTCTCTTCCCACTTTATCAATGGAATTTAAAAGGCATTGTAATCCATTCATGTCATCACTTAAAATAACTGTATCGTCTGCATATCTGATTGTATTTATCAGAATTCCATTAACTTTCATGCCCCATTCCAAATTATGCAGCGCTTCTTTAAATATTCTATCTGAATATAAATTAATAGTGGGGATAGTATACAACCCTGTCTGATACCTCTTTGTATTTTACATATTTCTGTTGATTTTCCGTTTATCCAAGCTGCCGCTGTTTGACGCCAGTATAACTTTTCTTAATATGCCACTTTCATTATTTTGATGATGTGCAATGGTTTTAATACACTTTGGTAAAAGTCCGAATGTGGCACATTTGCTTGTTTACGTACAGAATATTTATATTCTTCTGTTTAGCGTTGGGAATCGTAAAGTAGGTGTATATTTGTTAAACTAAAAATAGTCAACAATAACGTAAATATTGGACCTAAACATTCGCTATTTTACTAGAATATACATCTTGACAAGCCACAGCTGTTTAGTCTATTAGCTTAGATACGTCAATTTTGCACATTCGCTACATTACCAGTTTGGTCACGATATTATTTCTGATTTCCTATCATTTACTTGTCAAACTTTTAAATCACTATAGGTTAGAAAAATAAGTGTCAGTGTCAAAAAGTTTTAAAAAATGTAGTGTAGTTAAATTCTGTTAAATTTTTTCTTCTTATTCTTCCTTCTTATATAAATGCTTTAAAGCATGTTTCTTCTTTAATATTAGCCTCCTAAATCGTGTAAATAATCGCGCCACTTTTTTCTTGGTCTGCCAAAACTTTTTCGTCCATTTGGTGACTTATCTTGTGCTATTCGTCCTATCCTATCCTCTGCCTTTTTACTAATTTGTTCGTTTCACTCCTGTTTCTGTTTTGTCATCCATCCATTTATGTCTTCTATATTACATGCTCTTCTTATGTCTTCGCTTTTATCCTTATCCAACAGACTTTTCCCTGATATTCGTCAAAGTATTTTTATCTCTGTTATTTCTAGTAGTCGTCTAGTTTTAAATATGTTAGGTCTTGTCTCCTCCGTGTATGTTAATATAGGTCTAATTGCTGCTTTATAGATTCTTGTTTTTGTGTCTTGTCTTAGGTGTTTGTACTTCCAGATTGTGTTATTAAGAGTTCCCGCCACGTTACTTGCTTCTAAGCTTGGTTGTCGTTCTTCTTCTTCAACATCTCTGTAACTAGTTATATCTATCCCCAGTGATATCTAAACCTTGCTTCCTGCTTTATTATTTTCCCATCAATTTAGATTTTTAATCGTATTATGTATTTTGATGTTGTCACACATTTGGTTTTTTCTCCTGATATCATATTGTATTTCTTGGCTGTTGTGTTGAAGATGTGTGTTAATCTTTCGAAGTCGTCTTCTGTCTCGGCGATTAATGCGGCGTCGTCTGCATAACATTAAAATTTGTATTTTGTTTCCCATTCCGTAACCTTTATGTACTGCTAGATTTTTTATGAGCCTGAAAATATATTATATACCCTTAAAATTAGTCTAAACGTTTATATTTAATTTACATTATGATTTCCCTTTATCGAAAACCATTATGATGATATATCATTTATTTGTCAAACTTTCAAATCACTTTAGGTTAGGAAAATAAGTGTCAGTGTCAAAAAATTAAAAAATGTTTTATTTAAATTATACGTTAGAGGCTCAATATTTATACCATTAAAATTAGTCGAAAAGTTTTTATTTAATTTATAGTATGATTTCCGTTAGAGAAGACACATTTGGTTTTTATAAAAATGGCGGCGGCAGTAAGTAAAACATATATGTATATTATAAATAACATTTTCTGATATTCTCCTATCTTTTGTGCTAATTTCGTTACCTTTTCGTAACACATCAGTTATTAGAATATAATGCTTCTGTCCAAAGATGTTTAGATATTTAGAAAAGGGATCAAGATAAAAAACACCTTATAAACTTTAATCGAAAGTAGAGGTTAGATTCTGTGTCTAAATAAGCTGTGGATGTATGTGCCACAAAATACCAAATTCTGCTTAAAATGCAAAAATTCTAATTCTGTTTCGTACCAACCTACCAAACTTGAGACATTAGAATTCTAAACATTATTTTTTATACGAGATAGTGACAATATTAACCCTGTACTGCCCAATTTATTTTTAACTGCAAATAAATTTCTACTGTTATGTACTTCCAGGACAGGATCAAATTACATTTTTGAATATAAAAATATGCTTTATTGTCACTAAAAATTATTGAACAACTTTATGGACAAAGCTAAAAAATAAATCAGTCAAATAGTACAAAAAGTATAAAACAAAAACAAATATAGTAAAAAACAGAATAACACAATTTTAAATTAGTAAAATTATTGTATAACCTACATAATTTGTACAGACAACAACAAATGAGACAAATTGTAGCCACTGCTTGAGACACCCAAATGTAATTATAAACAATACTAATTTTGTTTCTTTGTTATACATTAAGAAACTCGTCAACTGAATAATATGGTCTTTCAAACAGATAGATTTTTGTCATCTTACGAAACTTAATGAAAGATGTTGCGGATTTAATTTCTCTTGGAAGTTGATTATAAAGTTTTTTTGCACTATATAGAATAGAATTCTTTACTAGCTGAGTGGACGGGATCGGCAAATAAACGTTACAATCCGAATTTCTAATGGAGTAGCCATGGTCAGGTCTATCGGGAAAAATGTTTAGATGCTTTCGAATCAAACAAACCGTTTCCAAAATAAATAAAGAGGGAAGCGTCAAAATTCCGTGATTTTTGAAGTAGGTTTTGCAATGAGTTGTTTGTTTCAGACCAAATAGATAACGGATTGCTCTTTTTTGCAACTTAAAAATAGTATCAAATTGGGCCGCTGTACTAGAACCCCAAAATGGAAGCCCATATCGAAGATGGGACTCGAACAATGAGAAATATGCCATTTTGGCAAAAGATAAATTTAGTTCCTTCGAAACAGATCTCATTGCAAAGCAAGCTGAGGCTAGTTTCTTCCTTAAGGAGTCAGTATGCAAGGACCATTTGAGATCACTGTCAATGAGAATACCTAGAAATTTCACGGAATTTATGATATTGATTTGGCTCTCATTCAAAAGCAAGGGTTGCATGACTCCTTTATAAGATAATGCTACAGTCTTATCCAAGTTAAAGCTAAGTAAGTTGGAGTCTGACCAAGCCTTGATTATAAGTAAATCAGCGGTTATAATTGAATGAAGCGTTGAAATATCAGAGCTGCTCCAAGTAATACTAGTATCATCAGCAAATAGAAAAATTTTCCCTTTAATTTTCAAGTAAGTGATGTCATTAATGAAAAGTAAAAAAAGAATGGGACCTAATACTGAACCTTGCGGTACTCCAATATATTTTTTTTAATTCTGTATTTTCTTTGTTTTAATAAAGTTTGTGACTTTCAAGTTACAATGTGAAAAAAGATAATTTTTCAAAGTCCACAAAACAATTGGAATTAGGCATAAAGCACAAATTTACATTACATTTTTCACATATTACTTTTGTCATGACTAGGCATCCCGGTTTCTCGCAACAATCTCGCTTTTCTGAATATTTAGGCCAATGGCCTATTCCGTCTTTCCATATGTTTTTCTCCGATAGAGAAGCGATGGGTCCTCGTTTTCTTTGCTATTCTATTTCTTGTTCTATTTTTGATAGACTGGGCCTTCCTATTTTCTTGAGCCTCTTTTTACCCTCTTGACAAAGACAAACGGCAATTAATGTTTTGAAATTTAGAACACTCAGTTCATTGGTTTTTTTATACCAAGTAATTGGGTGTCTCTTCTATAAAGTAACCAAGCATTGACAACTGCTAAATTAAATATATGGAGCACATTGCAAAGTTACCACTAGAATGAATTCTACTTCTATAAATCCATCACCAAGTCCATTAAGTTCACTTCGCCCATTCTACAAAAATTGTTTCTTTCTTTGCTTAGTCCCATCTTTAAACTTGACTTGTAGGATACGTGCCTATAAAGAAACTCAGTAAATGTACAGGCTTATTCTACCATTTGACTGCTCGAAGGGTTATTCCGTTTTTCTTGTTTTCTTGTTGACAAGTTCTTCGAAACTCCCCCTTTTTTATATCTTTGTCGGTAGAGAAATTACATCCTTTCAATCTGTTAGGACGCACTGTACCTACAGAGGGAGTACCCAACTTGTCCAGTTCAATTTGCAATTGCATACTTGTAAACTAGTTATCAAAATATATCTTATGGTATTCCATTTCCTGGAATCATTGTGGCCAATCGAAGAACCACATTTCCGCTGACTCCAACATTTGGTAAATATTCTGGATGCTCTTCTTTACCAGTATACAGTTCAAAATTATATACAATTCCGTTGGTATTGCAAAGGAGAAACGCTTTATAGCCTTAATATTTTGGTTTGTTTTTTATATTAATATATTTTAAGACCATGTTTTCCTTTGAAAAGAATAACTTGTTCATCCACTGAAAGTTTTCCTGTCATTGAAATTCTTCGAAAATATGCTGTAACTGGTTCTAAAAGAAGTTTGATTTTGTATAAGTTATTTCCGGAAATTATTTGACCATTTTCATTGTCAGTGGATAATGTTTTTAATTTTTTCCCAACATAGTTTCTGCAACTGAACTGAAATTCGAATAGACGGTAAACCATATACTGACATGAACAAACATGCACCGAAAACCTGTTCTATTTTGTTCTAGGCGATTTTTCAGTGTTCTATAGGGTAAAATACAGATTTGTTTGATAAACGATATTGTTCAAAATATTTACATCTATCAGCGATCTAAAATACAACCTTTCCAAAGTTGAATTGACTGTGCAAAATTAGAAGACAAGCTCCAAAGATTAACACATATCTACACTACAACAGTTAAGAAATACAATATAATATCAGCAGAAAAAACCAAATATATACGAAGATGTTGTAGGAGAAGTACGACAACAAAGCTTAAAATAAGTAAAGCGGCGGGATCTCTTAATGACACAATCTGGAAGAACAAACACCTAAGACAAGACACAAAAACAAGAATCTATAAAGCAGCAATTAGACCTATATTACCATATACGGCGGAGACAAGATCTGACACATCTAAAACGAGACGACTACTTCAAGCAACAGAGATGAAAATACTCCGACGAATATCAGGGAAAAGTCTGTTGAATGGGAAGAGAAGCGAAAACATAAGAAGAGCATGCAATATAGAAGACATTAATGAATGGATTTCGACATAACGAAAACAGGAGTGGAACGAACCCATTAGTAGAAAGGCAGAGGATTGGTTAGTATGAATAGCACGAGATAAGTCACCAAATAAACGAAGAAGTATTGGCAGGCCAGGAAAAATGTGGTGCGATAATTTATAAACAATTTAGGAAGCTAATATTGAAAAAGAAACAGACTTTATAGCCTACATACAAGAAGGGAGGAGAAGAAGAACTCAGCTAGCATACAAAGTACTTGAAATTGTGATCAAAATCACCTTTTACAACGCTGCAACACTACTAACGACAAAAGATGACAACTACTGGAACTTATACATAGAATATGATGATGTTTGTGTGTGATTGGAATGTTCTGTTGCAGACAACTGTATGTAACCTTATAGAAATAGCGGACGTTTATGGAAATATCAGGATTAGGAAGTATTTTATGACTCTTATTCAATATGTAACTTATAAGTTAGAAGGGGCAATACAGGGTTAATATTATTTTTGATTATACCTGATGAAAAGTACGTAAGCAGTAAAAAAATCAAGGTGAAGCCTATGTCCAAAAATGAATGGAGATGATACAAGAAACCACGAGTTTGCATATAATTTTTTTTTATATTAGAATTTGTCTTTTTATAGTAATCTTAAGACTGTTTTAGCAGTTCAAGCATACTGCGATTTGAAATGGGAGTATCACTTACATTTCTACACTGATTACGCGAGACTATCTTTACTCAGTGGCGTCGGCCAACGGGCAACAAATGCATTACTCTCCATTCAAATTAGTTTTAACACGAACTAACTGACCGTACGCTCATGAGATTTGAAGTCACGAAGCGATAACGATGAACCTAAGCGAGAATGATGAGTAACACGTTTCACTATTAAATTTTAGTATTTTTTAGCAAGTTTCTTCAAAGTTTGAATACGCTTTTCTCGATTATTACTGAACACATAAAGGTAAAAAAAAAATCAACGATTTCAGAAAAAAAAACTCTTTCAAGCGATGGGCGTAAAAAGTTTGGTTATAAGAGAACGTTGAACAGTATAATCCAATTTTTCAACAGAAGTAACAAAAAAATTAAAAAAAGTAAAACCATCGTTTTAAAAGCAACATAGTTTTGAATATTGTGTCCAAATTTCGAGACATTTTGTCGGTAAATAACAGTTCCTAGGTTTTGGTGCACCGATAAAACAGCCTTAATGTTGGTCATTTAGCACTACCATATGAGTCGTTAATTAATATCAAAATTTTCTTTCGTATCTATTATATTTTTCTATCTTTACTTTCGACTGATCATCATATCCTCTTGTCTAAACAAATAAATGGTATAAAATTATTTTTAGAATTCCTTTAGGTCTAGGTGTCCCTTGAAGATACTTCTTGCGTTGTCTTAAAAATACTTTTTGCTATAAAGCAATAATAATTTTAATTTTAGAACATTACAACAAGAATAAGTTTGGCATTAGTTCATCCAATACCGTCTAGAGCAGTACAAGATGAATTAGTTCGGGATATAGACGGACGAATCGTCCTGTCACCGGGTGAGTTTATTATTCTAAATTATGAGTTAATTATTTAATTATATTATTTAAATATTGTATCGGCTGTCAAACGGTGCCGATGTGTTATTCCGTTATCGGGCGGTAATTAAGTAATTAAAAACAAACTAAAATACACTTTCATTAGTATATATCGACAAAAGATTAGTAGAATTAAGTGTTATCAGTGACAGCAACAGAGAACAAGAACAAAGCAAGCACCAAATGAGGCAAGCAGTATAAAAAAACTAGCCAAAACATAAGGATCTTATGCCAGTGTCACCAAAACAACGAAAACTATGACAAATAGCAAAATTAGCCAGACACAACCTAAATTAGTAGCTTTACACAATACCTACTCCTTATAATAGAATAGCAACAGACTACAACAGACCAAGTAGTCCAGAAAATAGGAGAACTTAGAGAAGAATTAAATCAGGCTAGGCAACTATACTATTAACGTAAGAATGCTACAAAACGAAGAAATAAAAAACGAAATAAAAAATAATGTGAATGTAAATATGCAAAAAACACTAACTGACAACAAACAAATTATGGATGTAAATAAAAAGTGGTGTAATATAAAAAACACATTACTGAAACCAGCTCAAGAAAGTTTAATAGAACATAAATCAGAGGCTAAAAAACACTGGATGACAGAAGAAATACTATTACTGATGGAAGAAAGAAGGAAATATAAAGGAAAAGATCTACAGAAGTATAAAGAAATACAACGAATAATTAGGGAAAAAATCAAAACAGCCAAGGAAATCTATTTGATGAAGCAATGTAAAGAGATAGAAAAACTAGAAACAAAATATGATATGAGAAATATGCACAAAAAAATTAGAGAAGTGACTGGAATGGGTCGAAATAGACAGCAAGGATACATAAAAGACAAAAAAGGAGTACTACTAGTAGATTTACCAGAGAAGTTAAGGCGATGGGACGAGTACGTTAGAGAACTTTTCCAAGTTGAAAGAGGTGAAATGCAGAAAATACAAGAATTAAATCCTTTAGAGATACTGAAGATCACGATAGATGAAATCAAATATGCTATCAAAAACTCTAAAGACAATAAGGCAGCTGGATTAGATGAAATACCAGTAGAACTGTTAAAACTAGTGGAAGAGGACAACTTAGAAGTATTGGCAGATTTATTCAACACGGTGTACGATACGGGAATAATACCACAGGAGTGGCTAAAGTCAGCATTTATAACCATCCCTAAAAAACAAGCAGCAAAAGAGTGCTCTGATTATCGAACACTGAGCCTCATGAGTCATACTTTAAAAGTTCTGCTAAAAATAATACATAAGAGAATATACGAAGGGCTAGAGGAGGATATTAGCGAGACGCAGTTCGGGTTCCGAAATGGAATGGGTACTCGAGAAGGACTATTTGCCATCAACATAGTAATTCAGCGATGTCGGTATGTAAATGTTGATCTACACTTGTGCTTCGTTGACTACGAAAAAGCTTTCGATAAAGTAAGACATAAAAACTTAATATCAATACTTATGTACAAGCGCATTGACAGTAAAATCATAAATATAGTGCAAACATTATATTGGAACCAAAGTGCCATGGTTCAAATTGATGGGCAACACTCAGAAGAAATGAGGATCTGTAGAGGAGTTAGACAGGGATGTGTGTTATCACCACTTTTGTTTAACTTATATTCTGCAGAAATTTTCCAAAACACGCTCAATAATATCGAAGCGGGAGTCACCGTTAACGGAAAATTAATTAATAATTTAAGATATGCAGACGACACTGTGATCATAGCAACGAGTATAGAGGATCTACAACATCTTATCGAAAGCTTGAGTATAAATAGTGCTGAGATGGGAATTACTATAAACGCTAAAAAAACGAAGTACATGCTGATTACAAAAAGGCCACAAAATATACATCACCTATTGACAATAAATGGTAACGTGATAGAACAAGTAGAAAAATATCAGTATTTGGGAACTTTGATCAATGAAACCAATGATCATACTGTAGAAATAAACAGACGAATAGAGATAGCCAGATCAGCATTTATACGAATAAAGCCACTCCTAACGTGCAAAAATCTAAATTTGGAGATCAGACTACGTACCATTCGCTGTTATATATTTTCAATATTATTATATGGAGCTGAGACTTGGACATTAAAAAAATGTAATTTAAAAAGAATCGAGGCCTTCGAACTCTGATTATACCGCAGATTATTGAAAATATCATGGACTGATAGAATTACAAATAAAGAAGTACTGGAGAGGGTTGGTAAAGAAACAGAACTAATCACCACTATACAAACCAGAAAACTGGAATACCTAGGCCACGTGATGAGGGGACCAAAATATGAAATTTTGAGACTGATAATACAGGGAACGATTCAAGGAAGAAGATCTGTTGGCCGAAGGCAGAACTCATGGTTAAAGAATCTACGTGATTGGTATCAATGCAGATCGATTGATTTGTTTAGAGCAGCAAGTTCTAAAATAAAAATAGCCATTATGATTGCCAACCTCCGTAGAGAGACGGCACTCTAAGAAGAAGGCAACTATAATGGTTAATCTAGTCACTATAGCACTATGGACCGTAAATGACATAAAACAATACAAACACGAAATAGAAGTATTCTTAGTAATCAACAAAATTGGCATACATATCTGACATACACGTCTGAAACATACCTCACCTCAAAAACTATTACAAATTTTGAAGTAGATATACTGCAGCCCTTCCAGATGTGGCTGATTAATCAGAGCTGGGGTGGCAGTATTAATTGGAAATGAAATTAAACACGACCTATTTAATATAGTAGAAAAAAATGACATGCAGAAAACCAGCTTGATAATAATGGACTGGAATAGACCCATTCCAATAAGAGCGGTGTATTGTCCATCAAATTACTAGGCCAGTAAAGAAAAGTTTACAGAATTATTTAAAAATAATGGCAACAGATTCCTGACAGGAGACGACTATAAGGCTAAACACATAAACTGATAATTTTGACTACCAGCCCCAGGAAGAGAAGGAAAACTGTATTAAGTCATTTAAGAACTACACCTAAATCATCTGTCTACCTATACACCAACCTACTGGACTACAGGTCCTAAAATACACCCAAATTGCCTTCACTTTTTTTTAACTAAAGAATTTTTCCAAATTAATATCTGGCTATCGAACCTAATTATGATATGGCCTTAGATGATACGCCAATAATAGCTACGATTCATACAAATATCCAAGAAAAACCAAAACTACTAATACTCCACAATCAAGCTATTAACTGAAATCTGTATAGAGAAATATTAGAAAATTAAGTAAACCTCAACATATCTTTAAAAACATGCCAAGAAAAAAGTATACCAATTTCCAGACCAAGTAAATGTTTGAGCAGGTATTTTGGGAATTCACACTTAGTTGGACCTGTTTTTCTCAATGCTAACTTAACCGGTAAAGTTTATCTGGAGATTTTACAAAACGCAATTGAGCCGTTAATTCTTGATATTCTAAGATAATCCAGCTGAATTCGGCAACTTGTAAATATCGATTTAACAAGATGGTGCTCCTGCACACTAATAAGGTGCAGTAAGACGTTAAATAGATAAGTAATATCGTGGTAGTTGGATTGGACGACGGAACTCGAGAGAATAGCCAGCTCGGTCACTGGATCCCACACCATATGATTTTTTTTTTCTGTGGGGGTACTTAAAATCTAAGGTTTACGCTACAGCACCCGACACTATTGACATTTTGAAACAATGAAGAATGTAGGCAATTTTCCCCGACACATTTGATTGAGCACGACAAGAGTTTAGCAATAGGATGCATTGTTATCAGGAAGTAGATTGAGAAAATTTTAAACATATATTATAAGAATTAATTTGTAGATCTTTATTAATTAAATGCGACATCACAATTTTAGTATACATTTAATTTGTTTATCAAAATTAGCTTAAACCCAAACAAAATTAGTATGATTAAATAGGTATTTTCAATGCCTTTTAAACGATATATTCTTAGACAAGGAAAGAAAGAGGACAGGTAACTCTCATTTATAATAAACTTTCGCAAAGTAAAGCCAGTTTCGATGTGACCGCTATGTTTTGGTGTATGTACGTTGCTCATTACTACCTTTCGAAGGGTATACTGATTTAACTTCAATTTATTGATTTATTTGAAACACTGCATCGATCTTCTGAAAAATATGTAATGATAAAATCATGTTCAAAAAGTAATCATTATATCAGTGTTCAATAATAAATTTTGAAAAAAAATTATTTATTGACATCAAGCAGTTATTCTCAATATACTGAAGAAACAAAATATGACCTGGCAATCTTTCTGGTACCGGTTTAGGCTTCAGTCAATTCCATACGATTACGCGTCCCCTCCCTTTTCTTGTTTAAGGATATATTACTTGCTATAAGGTCCCATTTAAAATTATCGGCCAGAGTGGTCCTGTAACGTCATTTATGACTATTATTGCACCTGTTATGACTAGTTGAGAAACCGCCGTCCGTGTATTTTATTCCTCCAAATTTCATTCTAATTATAACCGCTTAAAATATACGACCGGGAGACTGAACTTTTGGCTAGCACTGTATTTTAAAACTTTTTATGATATCTAAGTTTCAGTATTTCTATGAAATCCCATCACGTGACATCCACCATTTTTTAATAGCAAACTTGGTCATGTGATACTTAATTTGAATGATTTTTAAAATCTGATTGCAAGAATAATATGGCATTATTAATTTATGTTTATTTGTTAACCGAGAAAATAGTAAAAATTCATTTTTTCTTCTTTTTATATACAATATTCAACGTTTAAAAAATAATATGGGTCATTTTTGCCTGTACTATTTTATTTTGTGTACTTGGCCTATTATTGTTTAATAAAAAACTTTTAAAAAATAAAACGGTTATTAAAAATCCATTATTAAATATTTTTTTGTATTACGTATAACTATATTAAAGTTTTGTTAAGTTTGGGAGTGAAA